AATAATAATGAAAATAATAAATGTCTTTATTTTTCTTACTTACTTTTTAAGGAGAATACTGAAAAAAATTCTGTACAAAAAAGGTTCATAAAAAATAGATAATTTTAGTCATGTATCATAAAAAAATGGGTATGTTCGTGGAAAAAAAAATTGTAGCGATTTTATGGTTTTTTGATTTTATTTACAAATAAATGGTAACTTTCCATAAAGACTTATTTATTAAAATCAAAAATCTAAATTTTTCAGTTACTAATTTTTATTTTAAATAATGTAGCTAGACAATTAATAAATTTAATAAAAATAAATACCCTTACAATGTTTTTTTCCCGACAAAGGAACGGGCGCAAATCCGGTATTCTACATAAAAATGGGTTTTTTGCAAAAACTACGCAACTTAGGTATGTATAGGGAAAGCTATTAAAAAATTGTAGGGTCTACAGAAAGGCATCTAATGAAATCATAAAACAGGGTGTTCTATTTGAAAAAGTCGAGATTTTTCAAATTTTAAATTAACAGGTTTGGCAAGATTTATTTTTGCCCCCTGTATATCGCAGGTCAACTTTTGATACGTTTTTCGAAAGAGCCATCTTCACCCTACAGATCCTGAAAAAAAATAATTTCTAGCTGTCATACAATCATAATTATGTCAACTACTAGAAGTGACGAAACATAAGAAAACAAATGAAAAGTCGATTATCTCGAAAATTATCAATATTCTAATAGGAATCATAACACAAAGTCCCGTTAATTTTTCACGTAGAATTCGATAATGCCATAAAAAATATAGGTTTCCGTTTAAAAAAATTAAGTTGGTTCCTGCCCAGGAAAACTGAACATCCTGTATATGCAAATATATTTTCATTTGGTGCAGCTCGGGAAAGTAGGCAACTCTGTAGAAAAAAAATAAGTTATATCTTTTATTAACCTAATATTGGACTTACGTGCACTAGGTGGACACGGTGTATATGGACCATGTTTGAGATGCTCTTTAGTGAGGATTTTAGCTGATTCTGGGATAGACATCTCCATCAAAATACAATGGGGAATATCTTACTCCATATTGAATATTATGTATGAGATTCCGAAAAAATATATTTTCGAATCAAGCTAACATCTTTTCTGTAGGATTTGGTAACTAGCCCAGAAAGATGCAAAACAGACAAAAATGATCTAATTAGAAGATGGCGACTGTGAAGTCGTCCAACGACTACGTGTTGGGAATGAAAAGGAACAAACGTTAAAAAAAGATTGATTTAACTAGCCATCCCGCCCGACTTGGCTGCCACCTCCTCTTTACTGAACGGCGGTGTAAACGGGAATCTATTTACGTGAGATAACGCCGGAGCGCCCTAATCATAAAATAACGGCTCCCTCTTCTTAACTTCATCTCCCTTGAAAGGATAATTTTATAATTCTTAGTTAATCAACAAGAGTCGTTTACTTTTACGACTGGGTGTTGTGCCGTAGATCCTAATTATGATTTACACATCAGCCCTTTCAAAAATTTCCGTTTCAGCTTTCGTTAACATCTCCGTTTTTGTGAATGACTGGTTCCAGAATGCCTCAAAATAATTGACATTTTTTTCTGGTCTGATTGATACTATCGAATTTGCGGTCAGGAATAAAATGATATGTATTGTATTCAACCGAAATCATTTAACGTTATAAACCTTTATTTAGGCAAAATATGTTTGTAAACAAAATGGTGTGGGATTCCCAAAACCCGCAGTTGTAAATTACTTGCTTTCATAGTTTATGAAGTCTAGGAGGAATAAAAATCATATTTCCTTCAAAGTTTGAGAAACAAAAAACATTCTATTACCGAGAATTAAAAAAAAATATGAAAAAAATTAAACTTCAACGACTTGCATCTTGGAAAGGAGACATATACAGAGTGTTTACTAAAGAATGAGCCTTATTTTAAGAAAGCTTCCTTTTATTATTTGGATAATTTTACTCAAATTTTGGAGAAGCAGTTTTTTTTGTGATAAACTCGAATGTCTGCTTGTTTTTTTCGATAAATGTACAGGGCGTTGTGAGCGCCCTTGCCACTACATTTTTCCTTCAGATTTCTTTTAAGGATCGATATTTTTGGAAAATGATGTTTTAAAACAGCATTCGATTTGCTTTAAAAAGATATGTCACTGAAATGCACCGTTTTAGAGAAAATAACGTTTAAAATAGGTACAAAATAAGTGAAAATAATTCATAAATTACAATAAATTATTAATTGAAAAGGTTAGTAATGTGGTTCTTATAACAACTGAAAACGTAAAAATGAAACAAACACAGAAAAATATGACAACATTTAAAAATAATAAAACAAAAAATAACCATTTAGACCTAGCTGTAATAGCAAAAAAAATTTTTCTTTTAAATTTGATTTTCGAAATTTCCACCATTTGCTTCAAAGCATTTTTGACATCTCTTTAAGAAATGTCTTCTAATTATTAAGAATGTCGGAAGGATATGCCCAATATCATTTGCTGCTGCCACTATTCTTTCCCACAATAAATTCCTGGTATTAACAGTTAGGGCTGGAATAAACCACAGTTTTAATCCCCATACATATAAATCCAGAGGATTTAAATCTGGACTTCGTGGAAGCTATGGAAGTGTGTATTCAGTTCGTTTTTTAAGTTTTACTCGAAAATCAGTCTTTTTTCGAAAAACACAAGAGAGCAGTAATTTCTAGAAAATTGAAAGACGAATCCGAAAATATCATGATTGTTACCGTAAATCAGTGGCGTACTATTTTATTTAGAAAAATATGCCACCGATACCTTGTATCTACGCCACTGGAGCATCTAAACTTTAAGAAAAGGCCTCAGATTTTGGACAATGTTTATATAAATACTTGTGGTCAATTTCAAATTATTTCACTAAAAAGTTTTTAAATTGTTTAAAAAAATTAAAAATATTTTTTTTAAGTTTAACACCCTGTATCTTTTTAATGAAGCGTCCTAGATAAAAATTTTATACGAAAAACTTCCCTTAAAATTCAACAAAGAATAAGTTTTCATTTTTGGTCACCATTTGTGAGTCACTCTGTATATCGTTATTATAATTAAACGACATAAATAAATAATTGCTTGCAATGTACACAAACACAAACAATGCATTCTTCTACCTAATTAATAAAATAATTTAGAAAATTGATCTTATAAAAAGTTGTCTAGTCAGCCGATACATATTTGTTTCGCTTAATAATGTATTTAATCATAGTTTACAAAACGTATTCCAAAGAAGAAATAACTTCTAAGTAATCTTATATCTTTTATACAGATTTGTATATTTAAAAACGTAGCCTTTATTATTTAATGATCAATCGGTTCTATTAAACAAACAAATTCGAGAGTTATTAGTGGTAGGTGACATTATATGTAATAATAACCATGAAATAAGATAAAAATTGGAATATGTTACCTGTTTTCAATTCAATAATAATTAGCCATAATCATATTAAAATAAATGTAACGTGATATTTGCTACAAAGTATCGTTCCAAATTCATTGATTATAGATTTTGAAAATCACGTGGGCAATAAAATATAACCCACTGTCTAGCCATAAATTATTTTTATTACTGGAAATATTTCAGATATTGAATTAATCTCATGACATTTGTTGACTATTCGCGATGTTATTAATGGAGTATATTATTAATGGTAGCTGTACATTAAGGGGAAAAAATGAAATAATAATAATAATTAATCTCTTTACTTTCACATTTTGGAGTAAAAAAAATGCCATAATTTGAGGAATTTATGGCAGTTTATTTTTATTTCTGAACGTTTGTATTAAATAAATAGAAATATTTTTGTATGCAGACGTTTTCAACAAATGTTGTGTAATTATTCTTCGCATCTCCGTTCTTCCATGATGATATTGGTAGGTCTCACTTCTTGTGGCAATCACGCACAACCGTTGAAAGAAAAACTCTGTTTCGCAACAATCCGTTACTCCTTATCACTAGCCCAGTCAGTTCATTTCTTTGTGCCTCACGTGTAACTTGTGTCTGTGTTGTGAGTGGAAAATGGCAAATTTGCGGAAGAGGAAAATTTTAGAAGAGTTAGAACAAATGAAAAGAAAATTTGCACGGTTGGAAAAGGATGTTATGACAAGTAACACATCTTCGGAGGAGGATGAAGGTATGTGTTATAACCGTAGCTATTATATTGTATGGTTATATAGTTTTTTTTCCTGCCTGAGACTAAGGTTTCCAAATCACAAAAAATAAATTAAATTAAACCAAAGTTTAGTTCGACTTCTATTGCCTTTATGCCATGGAAAAATGTAATGAGTGGTTTTCACTCCGCTTACATGTGTAATTACGCCCGAGGTGCGGTCGCTTGACCTTTGTTGCCCTCAGTTCCTGGGAAATGTAATGAGTGGTTTTCACTCCGCTTACATGTGTAATTACGCCCGAGGTGTGGTCGCTTGACCTTTGTTTGCCCTCAAACCATGGAAAAATGTAATGAGTGGTTTTCACTCCGCTTACTTGTGCAATTATGCCCGAGGTATGGTCGCTTGACCTTTGTTGCCCTCAAACCATGGAAAAATGTAATGAGTGGTTTTCACTCCGCTTACATGTATATATAATAAGGCACGAGGCAGGTCGTTTTCAACTTTTGTTACCTTCATGTCATGAAAAATGAAATGATTAGTTTTCATTCCGCTTACATAATTACATTAAATTATGAGCGAGGCGTGGTTGCTTTGACTGATTTTTGCCTGAATACCATAGTATACAAGGAATAATAAAAATGCAAATTTGTGTCAGTTAGGTAACTACTATCCTAAAAATTCTTACGTTAGTAGACAAATTTTTGTTATAAAACTAGCTAATAATATTGCTACCTATTGGTAAATAATGCCCTTTTTACAAGTATGGTTAAACTTGGATATCTGGAAAGATATATTATTATCTTTTTCCTTATTCATTGCTCATTTTACAGAATACTGGCTCAGTTCAGAGGATACGGAGGTATCTAGCAAAGAAACCCCAGCACTCGAAGGTGACCAGACGGCGGAAGCAGATAATCAAAAATTAATTTCGCTACTAGGCGAAATACCTACTACTTCAAGTGACGCGGGTCCCGATTTACATAAGGAAATTGTGGCGCGCTGGACAGCTTATTTAAGGCAAGGAATCAATAAAGAAACTCGGAAAGAACTTGTACAGAAATATTCTCTACCACAAAATTGTTCAGCACTTAGCGCACCTATAATGAACGAAGAAATAAAATCCATTTTACCAGCACAAATTGGGAAAAATGATAAATTTCTTGCTAGTTTGCAGGATCAGCTAGGGGCAGGAATGTCAGCTATAGGTTATATAATGGAGTTAAAACTGAATAGCGGCAACAACGACTTAATATTAACAGATGAATTATTACAAAACTTAAGAGATGCGACGCAACTTTTTTCAAGCGTTCACCATGCTATTTCAATGAAAAGAAAATTCGAAGTTAATCCTTTCATTACAGAGGAAAGCAAATCTGCTGCCCTACAGAGCCCTATTGATGATTACCTTTTTGGATCCGAGTTTTTAAACAAAGTCAAAACATATCAGACGATGAAAAAGGCGAGCGATGAAATTAAAAAAACAACAAAAAAGAAATATACACCGAAGCCGGGAACTTCAAGAGGACAGAATTTAAACTTCAAACGTGCCCATTACAGAACCAGAATGAAAGAGAGGAAGAGGCGACCCGAGTTCGAGGAGGGGCCGGTGCAGGAACGGAAGACGACGACGGGACGAAATCACCCTCGCAGGAGCTACTATCAAGCCTCGAAGTCTTACAAGTAGAGGTAAATGGAAAATTTGCAGGTAGACTAAAACATTTTGTAAAAAGATGGGAAAAAATTACCAACAACCCAAAAGTTTTAGGATGGGTCAAAGGTATTAAAATTCCATTTCTTGCTAAACCTAGACAAAATCAAATTCCTAGATCTGAAATACATCTTTCAGATATGCAGTCTTATTATATGCAAAAAGAAGTACAGAATTTAATAGATAAGGGGGCTATTTCTCAATGCTTTTACAAGAAGGGTCAGTTTCTGTCTCCTTATTTCTTGTTAAAAAAGCAAAATGGAAAACACCGGTTTATATTTAATCTGAAAGAACTGAATTCATTTATTCCAGTTACTCATTTTAAGCTTGAGGATTATCGAACAGCTGTCAAGTTAATATCACCAAATGATTATATGGCAAAATTAGACCTCAAAGATGCTTATTTTCTTTTACCAATTGATGGAAAATATAAAAAATTTTTAAGATTCACTTATCACAACAAATTGTATGAATTCAATTGCTTACCTTTTGGCTTAAATATAGCTCCTTTTGTGTTCACTAAATTATTAAAGCCAGTTGTTCAATATTTAAGACGATTAGGTTGTAGATTAGTGATTTTTCTAGATGACATATTGATTATCGGAAGTAATGTAAGAGAATGTTGTAAATATGTTCAATATGCCCTGAAATTTTTAACATCTCTTGGCTTCGTAATAAATATCGAGAAAAGCATATTAACACCCTCAAATAAAGTTCAGTACTTGGGATATATTTTTAATTCTCGAACAATGTCAATACGTATAACAAATGAAACGAAAGAGTCGTTATTTAAACTCATTTGTGAATTAAGACGGAGGAAAACATGCAAAATAAGTTATTTTGCTTCATTTATTGGGAAGCTGGTTTCAGTTTTACCTGCCATAAATTATGGATGGCTACACACTAAACCATTCGAAATCATAAAGTTAAAACAATTAAAACGTAATAATATGAATTATAAAAAAACAATGACTGTCCCATCATGCTTACAAGGTGAATTAAATTGGTGGTTGAAAAACATTAATCAACCAGGGAAAAGATTTACTCATAGGCCTTTTTCGTTAGAAATATTTTCTGATGCTTCAAAATCAGGCTGGGGAGCATATTGTGATGGTCATGAAGCAAAGGGGTTTTGGCATAATACTGAACGTAACAAGCACATTAATCTTTTAGAACTTCGCGCCGCTTATTACGGGTTAAAGTCCTTTGCAAAATCGATGTCGGACTGCAATATTTTATTAAGAATTGATAATGTCACTGCTATAGCAAGTGTCAATCGAGTGGGCAGTACGAAATATAAACATCTACATAAAATGGCCCAAGCTATTTGGAAATGGTGTGAATCCAGAAATATTTTTATTTTTGCATCTTATATTAACACCAGAGACAACTATAAGGCAGATTCATTGTCGAGGATATCATCAATAGACACTGAATTTGAACTAAATCCAAAAATATTTAATCGCATAATCCAAAATTTTGGTCATCCCAATATTGATCTTTTTGCAACCAAAATCAATTCAAAATGCAAAAGATATATTTCTTGGGGACCAGATCCAGGTTCTGTGTGTGTTGATGCCTTCACAATAAATTGGAATCAATTAAAATTTTACGCATTTCCACCATTTTCAATTATTCATCGGGTTTTAGAAAAAATTAAAAAAAATAACGCCACAGGTATTCTTATAGTACCAAATTGGCCAACACAGCCATGGTTTCCAACATTCCATGAACTATTAATCAAGAAACCTATGGTATTTCCTCCAATGAATAATTTAATTCTTTCCCCCTATAGGGAGAAACATCCCCTTTACAAATCTCTTTCCCTGGTGGCCGGGAAGTTGTCTGGCAATCATTCAAATTAAGAGGGGTTCCCGAGCAGGCCATTCCTAACATGATAGCTTCAATCTCGAACAATACAATGAAGCAATATTCTATTTGTTATAAAAAATGGTGGGATTATTGTTCTAAACATAATTGTAATCTGTATTCGTATAAATTAAAATTAGTTTTAAATTTTTTGTTAGAAGTGTCAAATGCAGGACTTTCTTATTCCACACTAAATACTTATAAATCAGCATTATCTCTTATTCAAGAGTTCAATTCAGGCGACGAAAATATTATAAAACGATTTTTAAAAGGGGTATATAACAAAAATCCGCCTACCCCAAAATATACCACAACATGGGATCCCAATCCGGTTTTGACTTTTTTGGGAAAAATGTATCCCTTGGAAACCCTAACAATAAAAGAATTAAGCCTAAAATTTGTCACACTTCTCGCTCTTACATCGGCGAGCAGAGTACAAACAATCTCAAAAATATCACTAAACAATATCATTCGAAGTAGTGATAAAATTGAAATAAAAATATCGGGAAGAATCAAGTCCTCGGGTCCCAATAAATTACAACCCGTTCTAGTATTTCCTTATTTTAAAGGCAAACCGGAGTTATGCGTCGCTACAACATTAAACTACTATTTAAATATTACCACACCTTATCGTAATGATAATACTACACTAATCATAACTCATAAGAAGCCATTTCACGCGGCTTCATCTCAAACAATAAGTAGATGGATTAAGGAAGTCCTACAGAGGAGTGGGATAGATACAACAAAATTTACTAGTCATAGTGTAAGGCATGCGTCAACTTCAGCAGCCTATAGAGCGGGTTTGAATTTAGACCAAATCCGAAAAACGGCAGGTTGGAGTAAGAACTCATTAGTTTTTACAAAATTTTATAATTTGCCTCTTGAAAATAATGTTGAAGATTTTGCAAATTGCATCATTGGAGAAACTATTACTATATAAAATTGGATTCTCCTTTTTTCTGTTCCATACTCAAATTACGGTGATACTTATTTCACCTTAATATTGTATACACAACATCTAAAATAAAGTGTGTTGTATGTAGATTTATGGATTAAACATATGTATATGTGCATATATTTATATATATTTTGTTAATTATTATTATTGTTAATTATTTACTGTTATGGTATTAAAGAATTATTTCCACTCAAAAAATCGCACCAGTTATTTACTCTAAACATCTACCAATATCATCATGGAAGAACGGAGATGCGAAGAATAATTGTAAGATTCGATCGACTTACCTGTAAGGAAGATCAATCTCAATTATTTGAGCATCGTAGTTCTTCCATGATAGGGCCCTCCCGCCACTAATTTTACCCATAGTGCGATTGGTTCGGTCACAAAATGAACTGACTGGGCTAGTGATAAGGAGTAACGGATTGTTGCGAAACAGAGTTTTTTCTTTCAACGGTTGTGCGTGATTGCCACAAGAAGTGAGACCTACCAATATCATCATGGAAGAACTACGATGCTCAAATAATTGAGATTGATCTTCCTTACAGGTAAGTCGATCGAATCTTACAATTAGAAAATATTTGCTTAATAATTAAAGTTGTTTTATTTTGTACATTTTTTATTTTAGTGGTGATGACTACAAAACCAAAAAACTTGTTTATAGTAAATCCCAGCAAGTTTTATTCGAGTACTAAATTGTTGTTGACTTAACAATTGGTTTCAAAGTCAATGATGGAAATTTTCGGAATAACTGAAGACTTCAAGTAGTATGTAGGTCACCTTCGATAAAATAATCAATTTAATGGAATAATAGAAGTAGTCAATTTAATTTGTTTATTACCTAGTCAATAAAAATTAAAGTAACGTTAAAAGGGTGCTTTTTAACAAATTCGGTGCATATTTTCCCAAGAATGCTCTCTTATCTCTAAACTTCAAAGTACCTAACTACTAAGAGTTTCATACTCTCCAAACATATTAACAAAGTATTAAATTGCTAGAAGCCAGCGTACATAAAATTTATAACACAAGATGAAGTTTTATACTAGCTCTTATTGACTATTAGTCATTCCATGCACATAGACAAAACTTTCTTTCATTTTATACTCGTATACACATATTTTTCACTATACTTTTGAAGTCTATTAGCTTTACCCGTTAGTTATTTTGATAATTGAAATGAAAGCATTTCTTTAAAGTATGAATACCAATAAGCATGATTCAATTGATATTATAAGATGGCAAATATCTTGACTATATCATTTTTTATCTTTTTTCTATACAGGCTGACAGTTATAGTAACAAAAAACTGAAATTAATTATTGAATTATTTTATTTTTATTCTTTATTACATATTTCTTTCTAGCAAAGCAGCCATTTGATATTCGAATATATGTATATAATCATTTTTTGTCAAGTAGGTACGTCAATTTATTAATTTAATTTTCTGAATAGAAACCGCAAAGTTTTTGTTTCTCAGTAATTAAAGTTAAATCTACAGCATCCAATTTTTTTTATTAAAAATTTTTAATCAGTGTTCTGCTTGTTAACAAATAAATGAGATGTATTTTATTTCAATATAAAAACTTTACGCTAATGAGGAAAATTCGAGGGAAAGTCCAACAAAATGAGCTTTACAGTATGTACCTAATTAAAAAAATTTAATGTTTGTATTAGATGTGTTACGCGAAACTTCTTTTAATAAGTTGTGCTACGAAAGAATATATATATTTGCATTTTTTTTGCAATATTCCGTAATTTTATGAATTTTTGTTTGTTTAATTACAACACATTTTTTTAGGTGATATGCAGTTACGCTATGTAATTTAACATTATGAATAAATTATTTCATAACCTTTTATTACAATTATGTGGTTTTTGTACCTAAAGAGGATGAAATACCACTCTAATCTTGAAACTCCCTTCAGTGAAAAATGAGGGACAGCAAAATCTCATTAATTATCATCATTTCTACTTCGCATATATATTCTTTAAAAAATCCGAGATATACGTACAACTCCTGTTCAGAAACTTGAGTCCTGGGGGACTCTGCCTACGTATAAAATTTTCTGGATATTCCGAATTACCTAAAGCGGATTCTCCCAGACATTTATTTTCCTGACGTTAAGCTTCGGTGGGTATCAACCGTCGCGACACCAAACTTTCCGGGATTTGTTAAAACGTCTTGTTGTAACGTAGGGATGTATGATTCCATTTTGGCATAAAAAATACTCGGAACAGTTAAAACTTCCCAAATATTATAATCCGGTTTGAATTGGCGCCCAACAGGCAAATATCGGAAGTCCCAAAATTTACGCAAGATTTGAATTTTACGCCATTTGCGGTACAGTGTAGTCAATGAGATAAAATAAAGACAGCGCCAGCATGACAATCAGGCAATAACAGTTAAAGGTGTTCACTATCGCGACATGATAATCCGGTTTTTTGTGTCTAAATTGCAAGATATGGATGAAGACGACATGTGGTTTCAACAAGACGGTGCCACAAGCCATACAGCTCGAGAAAGAATTCAATTACTGCATGAGTCATTTCCTGGTCGTGTAATTTCCCGTTTTGAGAATTGACCACCTAGGTCATGCGCCTTAAAGGCGTTGGACTTTTTTTGGAGGATGGTAATGAATTGGAAATTCAAATTGAGCGACCTGAGGAGGAAAACGATGACAAACATGAATAATATTAAGCTACATGCTTGCTATCAACAGAAAAAATAACAGGAAAAAATCTCGCTCATATTTAAACTGAGTGTTTTATTTATGAATAAAGTTTATAAATCAAGTATTTATTAGTAAATAATTAAGGTTTGTTAATAATTATAATATTTTTAGAGAATATTTGTCAAGGCCAAATGTGTAGAGAATTTTATTATCTTTCTTAATAACTCCAAATGTCATTTAGAGCAAATGAAACAAGATATTTACAAAAAAACTGGTTTTGTGACCTTTGACCTTGAATATCTTGCCTCGCGTACGCGAGATTCTATGAGACTTAGCTAACTTATAAAATGTAAAAATGAAGATTTATACAAGTTTACCTTTTTTTTCACCTTAGATGATGGTTGCACTCCCATATATTTTATGTCTTCATATTTGATATCTTTATACCTAATATAAATACCTAACTCTTTGTTCTTTTATCATTTTTTTTTTTTTTTCATTTGGAAAATTTCTCTTTACTTTGTTTCATCAGTTTGGAGGATTTTATAGCTTGTTCGTGTTAGATACTTTCTTTTCATAGTTACTCGCAATTTCCTTCGTGTTTTATCTATAATTAAATATCCTTTCCAGATTATTTTCAATATTTAATTCTTTACGGACCCAAATCTGGAGTTATGACTTTATCTGTTAATTCAGCCACAATTTCATCACTATTTATGATGTGACGAGCAATTCAAAATGTCTAATTTTGCACAGGTTTATAAGGAAAACTTGTTGAGGATATCTGAGCTGATAAGTTGACGTGCTTCAGCTGCATTACAATCAGCAAGGCCGTAGGAAAATGCATATTTGCAATTTCTATACAGAAATTATCAGTTCATGAAAATAGTAATAACTAATTACTACACTGCAAAACGTGAAAACGTCAGTGTTTACTTAAGACGTCAAAATAAATACTATTTTTATCTTTCACAATCTTCTTCATGAGTGTAATTAATTAATTTCACGATACATTTGAAGCCGTTACTTATTTTGTAATTTTCAGTTTTAACTGAAGCTTTGGCTTTAAAAATCAGTGGCGTACCATTTTATTCTGAATAAATCTAAGTGGCTTTGGATATATGTTCATAGAAACTTTTTTTCTTAGAATTAGCTGAAAAATTGCCCCTTCTATTGTCGCTACTGGCGAGATGGCCCTGTATATGCAAACCCTTTTAGCATAAGTGAAGGTGCTTTGTTTACGACGAATACGAACTCTTTATCATGGCATGCATAAAATTGCTCGAAGATTTACACACGGACAACCATGATATGGTGCCGGGGTTACAGTCTAATGGAGAAGTATTTGCTCCAACTAATCTACGCCTGATCCGGATGAAACCGGATTTTTTCCAGTTCTTCCAGACGGAGATGGTCGTGAACATAGATTTATCTATTCTTAAATTCGTTTCCCAATTTTCATTTCTTTATATAAACAGAAACTTCGTCCGCTAAAGCTGAAAAAAATGTAAATCCACAAGAAACTGAATTTTTACATTTAATGGGAAATGTTTGCAATCTTATATATTTTAATTCTCAGATTACTTTGTCTCATCAGATTTTCAAAAATGAATTGCTCCGTTGAATTTTTATAGACTTTAAGATCTACTTATATCGACAAAATTTTCTCTTAAGAATGTGAAGCTTTATTTGCATTGCAAATATTAAAGATAGCAATAAAGCAAAATAAAATTAAATGGAAACGATATATTTATAATTTACTCGGCCTTTTATCTTCCAATAAACTCATTTCTCCAAGGACATTTTAATAGAATTAAATTACCTTGAACATACGACCGCCGTTGCCAAGATAACATCAACCAACAATTCCTACTGAAATCAGTCGTCCTTTTTACGTATGCGCTTAGTAAAGATAAAAATAAATCTTGGTATGCATATACAATCTCGGAAATCATTATTTTTTGAGTATAGGTGCAATATAACCTACAAAATACGTGATATCTTAAATGTGTGACGAGGCATGTAGTCAGCAGAGTACGTAGTTGTTTCCCACAATATCATATCAATGACTGAATTTTATTTATATTAAACCAGCACGCAAATAAATAATTACAAAATATGTATGATGACTTGCGGACATATTTAGAACTGCTGTTGACACCTAAGATTGCAACTGTACGGCGTTTATTGGTACTGCGAGCGCAGCATTTTGTCTACGTTCACCGTACATCAATACTATAGTCACCAATTACTATGATTATGTTCCATTGTAATCAAACACTAAACA